TGAAATTACTGGTTAATATGTCCCGATCTCAATAAAGTTTACACACGCTTTTGGTCCGTGAATTAGATCTGCTGTCTGTGGAGGTTTGGCCAGGACCGGTTCCAGAATTAAATCAACATATTTTATGTTCCGTCCATTGCCAATCACTGCTATTTCGAGAGTGAATCCCGCATAAATATGCGGATGTCATTCCAGAAACTATGCAGGGTGTAGCCTGTGTGTCCGAAAAATTAAAATTTCATACAAATTCTGAATGGATTATACCCTAGAAAGTGTGCAAAGCACGTTCCCTTTATCACTAAAAAGCGTCACTCGTCTTCGTTCATCGCGATCTTACAAAGTTCTGTTATAATCAATGAAGCTCTCTAAACTACACAAAGAATCTCTTATTTACATCGTGTCTGCACTTAGTCATGAGATTATTCACGAGCGTGCAAAACTGCACTTAAAAACTGCGGCGCTTTCAGCGGTGAGTGAATTCTGACAAAACGTTTCTGATTGGCCATTGCGTTCAAGAAATCAACAGATACCTGTGATTGGTAACACTGATCAACGCTGCAAAAACACGTTGAGGGTATTTAGCGTTTTGTTAAGCGCTCCAATTGCATTGGGGCCGACATCAGGGATTCCATGACTAACAATTGAGGGGGGGGGGGGCCCTAATGTCGCCCATGCTGGTTTGGAACAACATGAGAGTCAATGATAACAGAATTTTCTTTTTTGTGTGAACTGTCCCTTTAAATTAATATTTTTTACAAAGGAATAACACATCCATTTTAGTGACAGTGAAGACATTTCCCCCCCCATTTTTAAATAAATGCTGTTCAGTTAAACTTTCTATTCAAGAACCTTGAATAAATGTATCATGGTTTCCACAAAAATATTAAGCACAGCTGTTTTCACCATTGATAAAAATAAGAAATGAGCAGCAAATCATCATATTAAAATGATTTCTGAAGGATCATGTGACACTGAAGACTAAAGTAATGAGGCTGAATAAGTTTTGCCATTGCAAAAATAAAATACATTTCAAAATACATTAAAATAGAAAACTTGCAATAATAATAGTAACTGTAACTCACTAACCCCAAACCTCTAAATGGCAGTGTGTGTAAGTATACAAGTAATAAATAAGTAAATCCTACATTTTTAATGGTTCTGATTTCCAGCTTCTACAATGATTTTAAATGAGATCAGAAGTGGAAAACTGCTCAATGCAAATATAGTAGGTATTTATGATTTGCTCTTCAAGAAACTATATACATAACCATAACATGCTGTATGACACACTGACCCTCCTTACAACGCTTTCATCTTCAACAGCAGAAATCATTCCCATGAGATCCCCCTGTGTTCTGCCTCACATGTCAATATGCATTTCCCTCCTTTATCACACTCATTACGCATTTTTTTTGTATAAAGTCATCAAGCATCTTTGAGCTGTAAAGCCTGCTGCTGTTTTGCCCGAGGACAAGCCTGTTACAGATTCAAGGAGGATTGCTGATATGCTTGAATTATTTAGAATGGCGTTCAGGTAAATGCCCCTGACAGATAATATGAGAATGATGACCTGACACAATCACAGACGCCTGTTGGCACGCAGCGTATCTGAGACACATCAGGCCTGACAGGATGTGCTTTCATGATGATACCCAACTGGGATTTACAATACTCCATCTTCTGAATGGAGAGAAGCACCTGAAGAGCGTGCCCATCGAGAGCAGAGAACCAAAGAATGAGAGGAAAAAAACCAAAGCATCGAAGGTTTGAGCTGCTGTCGAAAGCTGATGTCGACAGAATTTTAATGGCTGATGTTTGTGGTGGAGTGCTTAACTCAGGGGAAACTCTGTCTTCTTTTTTTGAAAAGAGAGAAAAAGTCGGAGGAACAAAACTGATGCTCTTCCCGCTGAAAGGACATGGGAGAGACTTTTTAAGACGTCAAAGTGCTTTGTCTCACTCTCTAGAATCCAAATTCATGACCATGTCCGCCTCCCTGAAGCTTTTTTTGTTTTGGGTTTTACCTGTAGTAAAATTTCACAGAAATATGGCTTTTGCAGCTGTCATCTGATGAGGCGGGAGCTCATGTCAAAGTGTATTTTAATGTGTAAACGGTCAAAAAAAACGAATTTTGGCCCATTTAACACGTGGTATTGAATATAAGTGTATATAAGCGTAAATATAAGCTGAACATCTGTAAAAGTACAGTACCTTCTCAGGTTTGCCTAATATCACAAAGCAATGACAAAAATTAAGTGACACAAATGCCATGGGAGTTTGACTGGAATTATGAAATATTATGGTTGCGGTAAGATTACAATTGTCAAATCAAATTTTGATCAACAAGTGAAATGATTCATGGTCACATGAACAGACATTAAAACAAGAGAAATTAAGCTATTTATAATAACATAGAAAACATTATTAAATCATGATTTTTTTATTTAGCCTAATACATATTTAAATAAATAAATAAATATATAAATACTGGGAATAATAATAATAATAATAATAATAGTAATAATAATAATAATAATAATTATTATTATTATTATTATTATTATTATTAAAGGTATTAGCTGCAATATAGTGGTGTATTGCTGGCCAAAATATGCTTATTTTTGTAACAGTAAAAAGTCCAACAAAAAAATTATATTTTAGTTTGTCTGATTTGCATTTAATAACAAAGATCATGTAATCATGGAAAGTGAGTGATTAATAAAAGATCATAAATAAAAGATAAATTAAAAGATGGGAAAAATTAAATAAAATATAATACATAATAGACATTAAAAAGGAGAAAAAAAAAAATATAATTTATTATTAATAATATGATAATATGATTTAATTATTAATAATTTATTTATTTAATAAACATATTTGGTTAAATACAAACCTTTGGGAATAACTACAGTGTTAAGGATTTACTAATGTTGCAATAATAATAATAATAAATTATTATTAGTAGTAGTAGTAGTCAATTTTTTTGCTGTGATAATGAGGCATATTTGAGAACCAAATCAGATTATTTGTGCAACAGTAAAATATCCAATTAAATATTCTGATCTTGTGGTCACAAAGATCATGTTAAACACCATTCAATAGCAATTCAACAAAAAATTTAAATTGTCATGTTTGCAGTATGTAACATTTTACATTTTTCAAATGTAATATTATTAAGGAGCAATATAGTGGTGTATTTGCGGCCCAAATCAAAGCTGTATAATAAATTAACTGCACTATATATAAAAATCAGAGACACAATCACAAGGAGACGCATCTGAGGTGTAAAACTGAAAACCGGTCCACTGAAGCTCCCTGAACACACCAAAAACACACAAGCCCATTCCACTCTCACATATCTAGAGATACAGTGTGTTATTATGACTTTACCTGACCCATCTGATACCATCTAACAGACGACTGACTGATAACAGAGAGAAATATGGATGCAAACGCACAGCTATATGTGTGTGAGATGGTTGGGGTTTAATGAAAAAGCACTCTGGACTCGTTGGGTCAGACTTGTTTACCTCTTCTGACACAGAGTGGCACTTTCATCTGTCTTCTGCTCTAATTGGACGCTCTGCTTCGACTCTCATCTTTCAAGCACGGTTACCTTACAGACACACACTATTATTATTATTATTATTATTATTATTATTATTATTATTTAGGCCAGGGTATTAGCTGCAATACAGTGGTATAACAACAACAACAATACTACTACTACTACTATTACTACTAATAATAATAATAAATATTGGGAACGATTACATTATTATTATTATTACAACATTATTATTACCGTTATTTATTATTATCATAATTATTATTTAGGGTATTAGCTACACACACACACTGTAACGCGTGTTTACCTCTCGCGCTCATAATGACAGCTATTTCTGCAGCTTCTCAGCTGTTTGCATCTGAAAGCTGGGTTCTCCTTCAGCACTTCCTGCAGCTTCACAGCGACACCGACGCAGCTAAACCTGTTGTACACAATCACACTCTTCAATGAGGATTCTGTCATCATTTGCTCACCCGCATGCTGTTATTTATTATTATCATAATTATTATTTAGGGTATTAGCTGCAATACCGTGGTGTAATAATAATAAAAATAATAATAATAATAATAATAATACACATTGGGACTAATTACATTATTATTATTAATATTATTACAGGAGGATTATTATTACAGTTATTTATTATTATCATAATTATTATTTATCCGCAATACAGTGGTGTAATTAAAAAAATAAAATAATAATAATAACAATAATACATATTGGGAATGAATACATTATTATTATTACAACATGATTATTATTATAGTTCTTTATTATTATCATAATTATTATTTAGGGTATTAGCTGCAACATTGTGGTGTATTTCTGGCCCAAATCTGCTTATTTTTGTAACAGTAAAATATCCATTGAATTAAATGTTTTTTTTGGTTTGCCTTCTTTGCATGCAATAACAAAGATCACGTGAATCCCTTTTTGAATAATTTGAATCAAAGTGAAAAATACAATCAGAAAAATAAAAGATTTTTCAACTCATGTTTTGTTATTGTTTATGTTTTGTTGTAGTACGTATGCATTACTATTTTGGTTTTATTTTTATATTTTCAGTATTTTTAATTTTAGTCTAAGTTTTAGTAATTTTGGTATGTACTTTGCCATTTTTATTATTTTTTAGACTTCTATTTATTTTTATTTTTATTTCAGTTTTATCAATTTTAGTACTTCAATTTAAACTTAAAAAAAAAAAAATAGAAATGCTGCCTTGGTAACCAACTGAAATAAGTTTTTCATCTAATATTTCTTATTTTATTTATTTCAGCTTTATTTCAATTAACGCAAACTATTTTTAATAGTTTTAGATTTTGTTGTAGTTAATAACAACACTGCTTTTCTCCGAGACAGATATCAAACCTTTGAGAGCAGCATTATGAAGCTGTCATCAGACGGAGCGTCTACAAAGGTTTAAGGATACTTCCCCGGCGGCCCCACTGCCACTCTGTAGTTGCTGTAGCTGTTGGTTGCGTGGAAGTTGAAGATGAAGATGACGTTGGCCCTCTCGAAGACGATCACCTTGTCTCCCTCGTGTTTGGCGCTGATGTAAGCCTACAGAGAGAGACGGAGATCAAAGATTGAGCACAGTGGGATTGCATGAGATTTGTGTGCTTTTAATCACACATGTTCTGTATCTCAGCCTCTGCATGTTTGATATGTCTTGTACATAATGTTAAAAATAAATAAGCAATTAAAATTAGTGCCAAATAAACAAAAAGACCATCAACAAATATGTATGATTTACATATATATCTCACACATAATCTAAATAAATAAATAAATACAATTAGTGCAAATTTAATTTAGGAAAAAAAATTGGGATCAACTACAGTATATTCTTAAAAATAAATTATAAGTAAAAGTAAAAAGAAACATTAAAGTATTTCTCTATTGTGATTAATTTTTTGTTTCATCTATGTTTTAGATGCAGTATATTTGAGAATTGGTGGCCAGCTTATTTTTTGCAACTGTAAAATTTCAAATGAAATCAATATCAAGAAGCAAGAAGAATATTTCCAAAGGACGCATCCACTGAAGATCTTTCTCCCTACAAAACACAGACCCTTCAAACTACTCAAACTCCAACTTTTGAAATGTGGGATTTTTTTTTTCTTTTCTTTAATATCTAACTGAAATCCAGAGATGACACTCTTGGGGCATAACTGCAGCTCACTGTCAGCAGCAGATGACTAAAGTGATTTAGCTGGTTTCCAGCAGAAAGACAAGTCTGTAACATGCCATTACCAGAGATTATCAATGTCACTCTGCCCCACTATTTTTAGTGGTCCAGACCCTCAACCAATATGGGAACTGAAAAAGAAAGAGAGATAAGAAACGCTCCAACTGAACAGATAAGACATCCAGATGAAGGAGCCAGAATTCAGGATTCATCTGAAGAGTTGCATTCTTTTCTGTAGCTCTTATAATTTGCAGCATGAAAAACAAAACGGTTATTCAAAAAGCGAATAAATGATATAAAACAAGCAAAGATTATTAAACCATCAATGACCTCAGTCTAGCACGAATAGTACTACCAACAAAAAAATAAAATAAAAAAAAATGTCAGTGGCCTTTTCACACAGAACGCATTTTTTTCTATTTCACTGCGGTACTTTCCCATTGCTTTTTACATGTAAACAAATACACGCCACAGACGGACGTGTTTGATTGACGTGTCTTTCGTGTGCAAAACGACATTCCAAAAACATGGAGCTCAGGGCCCAAAACTAGTCCAGTTGCATTTCGAGGAGGGGGTCCCCCAGTAAAAAAAACACATTCGGGGGGGTAAAATACACGTTTTTGGTGGGGTTCCCTAGTGCTGGGCGGTATACCGGTTCATACCGAATACCGGTGTTTATTTTTGTTATGATATGAATTTTTAAAATACCGCAATACCGGTGTATGTCGCTTAAACCAGTGTTTCCCAACCGGAGTGCCATCTGTCGAGCAGGGGTGCCGTGTAAAAAAATCCTTTTTTAATATTTTTAAATTGCTAAAATGTTCAAAAGAGCATCTATTATATAATATCCATTTCTGATGTCGCCAATAATTAGAGATGCACCCGAAATTTCGGCTGCCGAAAATTAGTTCACCACTCAGGTTTCACTTTCACGTGGTGTGACACTCTGCATATTATCCCGCTCCGCACAGTCGCTCCACTCATATACCGTTCATGCGAATCGGAACAGCAAAGTCCACTCAAAAATTGAGCCGACAGGAAACATCGCACCGCAGCCGACTCGTCAATAAATGAGTACAAAACAGCGTTTCCTAGCACCTGTCGATTACTGATTGTTTGGAATTATAAATATGAGCGTAGTTCGTCTGTTAATATCACATGCACTTTTTTGTTTGTTGTTTTTTTTTAGTTCGTTACTCAGACGCAGGCAGTGCGCTGCATGAGACAAAAAAGTAATATAGCCAAAACAACCGCATAGCTGCTCTTTAGTGTAGATGCATGTTGATTTTATCAGACGATGCCGTGATTATAAATGAGAGTGACTCCTGGTTAACGTATTAAAAGGGGTCGTGTTTAGTCACTATATAGTGTGCTATTTTTTGACAATATTCACTCATCATGACAGTAAAATAGGGCATTCTAAGTCAATATACTGCAGTATTTCCTCTCTTAATCAGTAGAAAATATGGTTAACACCCGGTCATGCATGAAAAAAAAAATACCGTCATGTACCGTGAAACCGGTATAATTTTGAAAAATACAGTGATATAAATTTTTGGTCATACTGCCCAGCACTAGGTTCCCCTATTAAAATTCACATACCAGGGGCTAAATAACACGCTAGTGGAGTCGCTTTAACCAGCGGACATGAAAAACAACCTGCGGCAACAGTGTTAAAGGGTTAGTTCACCTAAAAATGAAAATACTGTCAAATTCCGTCTGCAGTGGTGCACCACCGTTATGGAAAGAGTATCAGGATGCATGCACTTGCTTCCGGTTCATGTAAACAACGCCGTTTACATGAATCAGAAGCAAGCGCATACGTCCTGATGCTCTTTCCATAATGGTGGTGCACCGCTGCAGACGGGATGAGGAGGAGAAGAATTGTTGAATAAAGCCGTTATTTTTGTTTTCTTTGCGCACAAAAAGTATTCTCGTAGCTTCATAAAATTACGGTTGAACCACTGATGTCACATGGATTATTTTACCGATGTCCTTGCGACGTTTCTGGACCTGGGAACATTGCAGTTGTGTTGCTGTCTATGGAGGGCCTGAGAGCTCTCAGATTTAATCAAAAATATCTTAATTACCTTTAGGAAAAATAACCATGGTTTAAAAAAACAAAACAAAACATGGTTACTATAGTTAAACCATGGTAAATTAACCATGGTTTTGCTACACTGACCATAGTTTAATCATATTTGTAGTAAAACTGTGGTTATACAAATGGTAATCAATACACCAAAAAACATGGTTACTACACATTTACTATAATAAAGTGTAAGGGATATAACTGGGCATGGGGGCAAAAAATCCACCAAAGCAACAAAAATGCCCCTCAAATTTAAGGTAAAGAAGCAAAAAATGCCCCTGCACAATCAAACAAATATATTACAACTGCCCCGTTTAAAGTGAAATGTGAAAATGAAATTTAAAGTGTCGGTTGTGGCATAGAATTTTCGATCTCAGTTTGCTTCACATTTCTTTGCACGTATTTTTTTGCAGTGTTGAGCATTCTAACCAATCACGCACATTTCTGTTGAGTTTATGAATGCAGTGGCCAATCAGAAGCGTTCCGATTAGTCATCGACCGAATTCGCTCACAGACTGAAGACTGTACTCAGTGTTTCCGAGTCTGGCTACTATAAAGGGATACTTCACCCAAAAATGCAAATTCTGTCATTAATGACTCACCCTCGTGTCGTTCCAAATCCGTAAGACCTTCATTCATCTTCTGAACACGAATTAAGATATTTTTGATTAAATCTGAGAGCTCTCAGGCCCTCCATAGACAGCAACACAACTGCAATGTTCCCAGGTCCAGAAACGTCGCAAGGACATCGGTAAAATAATCCATGTGACATCAGTGGTTCAACCGTAATTTTATGAAGCTACGAGAATACTTTTTGTGCGCAAAGAAAACAAAAATAACGGCTTTATTCAACAATTCTTCTCCTCCTCATCCCGTCTGCAGCGGTGCACCACCATTATGGAAAGAGCATCAGGACGTATGCGCTTGCTTCTGATTCATGTAAACGGCGTTGTTTACATGAACCGGAAGCAAGTGCATGCATCCTGATACTCTTTCCATAACGGTGGTGCACCACTGCAGACGGAATTTGACAGTATTTTCATTTTTAGGTGAACTAACCCTTTAACACTGTTGCCGCAGGTTGTTTTTCATGTCCGCTGGTTAAAGCGACTCCACTAGCGTGTTATTTAGCCCCTATTAAAATTCACATACCAGGGGCTAAATAACACGCTAGTGGAGTCGCTTTAACCAGCGGACATGAAAAACAACCTGCGGCAACAGTGTTAAAGGGTTAGTTCACCTAAAAATGAAAATACTGTCAAATTCCGTCTGCAGTGGTGCACCACCGTTATGGAAAGAGTATCAGGATGCATGCACTTGCTTCCGGTTCATGTAAACAACGCCGTTTACATGAATCAGAAGCAAGCGCATACGTCCTGATGCTCTTTCCATAATGGTGGTGCACCGCTGCAGACGGGATGAGGAGGAGAAGAATTGTTGAATAAAGCCGTTATTTTTGTTTTCTTTGCGCACAAAAAGTATTCTCGTAGCTTCATAAAATTACGGTTGAACCACTGATGTCACATGGATTATTTTACCGATGTCCTTGCGACGTTTCTGGACCTGGGAACATTGCAGTTGTGTTGCTGTCTATGGAGGGCCTGAGAGCTCTCAGATTTAATCAAAAATATCTTAATTCGTGTTCAGAAGATGAATGAAGGTCTTACGGATTTGGAACGACACGAGGGTGAGTCATTAATGACAGAATTTGCATTTTTGGGTGAAGTATCCCTTTATAGTAGCCAGACTCGGAAACACTGAGTACAGTCTTCAGTCTGTGAGCGAATTCGGTCGATGACTAATCGGAACGCTTCTGATTGGCCACTGCATTCATAAACTCAACAGAAATGTGCGTGATTGGTTAGAATGCTCAACACTGCAAAAAAATACGTGCAAAGAAATGTGAAGCAAACTGAGATCGAAAATTCTATGCCACAACCGACACTTTAAATTTCATTTTCACATTTCACTTTAAACGGGGCAGTTGTAATATATTTGTTTGATTGTGCAGGGGCATTTTTTGCTCCTTTACCTTAAATTTGAGGGGCATTTTTGTTGCTTTGGTGGATTTTTTGCCCCCATGCCCAGTTATATCCCTTACACTTTATTATAGTAAATGTGTAGTAACCATGTTTTTTGGTGTATTGATTACCAGTTGTATAACAACATTTTTACTACAAATATGACTAAACTATGGTCAGTGTAGCAAAACCATGGTTAATTTACCATGGTTTAAATATAGTAACCATGTTTTTTTTGTTTTTTTTAAACCATGGTTAT